TTATTAYGAAAAGGTTACTGCCAGGCGATTGTCCCGGCTCTGTGATCATCTGGTGGCACGAACACTTCCCAGATTCCTCCTTACTTAATGTCTAGGTGGATGATCCCATCCCTTACAGATCTCCCAAGACATTGGATTCGATTTTGGGTGTAACAAAAACCTATATATTTTTTTAATGTAAAACTCTAAGCAAAAAAAAAAAAAAAAACCCAATTTTTGATTATCTCTTTACTGAACAGAGTCCTGTTTTTTTCTTTCTTTCTTTCTTTCTACTCCTGTAAGCCTAGTTAGTGAGCTAACCTTCTAACCTGTTTTCTTCAGGTTGCAGGATAGCAGTGGGTTTATCACTCCCTTTGGAGGAATCAAGGATCTTTATAAACCTCCATTTTTTCTTCAAAATCGCTTGACTTGTCTTTTCAGAGTTAGGACTCTTTTTTTTTCTGGTAACACATATCTTAAAGTTAGTTTATTTTATTGTATATTACAAGACACAAAGGTCTAACACCGTATATTCTGTGAACTTACAGCTTTATCATATTGTTCCTTCCTATTCTGTAATCTAATATACTTGTTTCCTCCTTGCTATAGGGGGTTCAGAGAAGAAAATATTTCTCTTGCCTCAGTATTTGTAGCATATAGCATACATTGCTAATTCTTCATATTAGTTTGACTGTACATTAAGCTTCCTGTAGAATTAAGAAGGTCGTATAGACAAAAATCTGATGTATTCCTTTTCTTCTACAGAGTGAAAAGATTTTGCCAGTAAGTTGGATTCAAATCGCCTCAAGGTTATTTTCTCCCTGTGCTCCTTTTCTTCAGAAACTTCCCTAAAATAGAATTAGCTGAATGCTGTAAGATTTTCTTCTTTAAGGTGAGGAGAGATTTCTGGATAATCTTTGTCAGCCAAGTTCTCCCATACACTTAACATGAAGGCAAGAGGGGCATTTGTGGCCAAATATTTTAGGAAGTGGTACCCTTCRGAGTTGTAAAAGAGGAGCAATAGCATAGAAACACGTTTCACTGGCATAATCAAAGAGTTCAGCTTATGAAAACACCCTGGTTTTCCCTTCCCGCTCTGGAAACACAGTGTTTTAACATAACTGATGGGCTTGTTTGGCAGTGTTTGAGATTTTGGCTCTGTTGGCAATGCTGAATATTGCCAGTGCTTTTTAATATCTTGGCCTAGGTGATRGCCCAGTTAAAATACTTGTTTAAAAGCTTGAATAGGCCTTATAAGAGCAAAATGATTAATGCTTTTAAGAACTAATGTTTCACTCCTTTTTTTGTTTGTTTGTTTTAGCAAATGAATGAACTAACTTCTAGGTGTGTTGAGCAGTAATATTAACTAATAAACGTATTCAAAGCCACAGATGCTCAGCTTTTCTGTGAATCAGCCCTTAATTTTATTCTTTCCGTTGCATAAAAGGAGTTCTGAGTATCACATTATGTAATAGGGTCATCAGGCAGCTTTGGGATCTAACCTTTTCCCGTGAGCAGTTGACAGCTGCTGCTCCCTCGCATTTTAGCAGGATTGTTTAGTGTTGGCCTGCCTGTTCTTCTGCTGCCACTTTTATTCTTCATATAATTTCTTCTCTTTGAGAAAAAGAGCTSCCTTTGAAATTGTCATGACCTCATTGCAGAAGCACCCATCAGAGCAAATGACCCTGAGGAAGGAAAAATAAAGCAAGCTCATACAGTTAAATGAATGGTAGAATCTAGCAAGTTTTATCAACTACAAGTCAATTTTTAAAGTCCTTATTGCAGAGCCACATCCATTTAATTGCTTCTCTTCCCTGCAAACACTGAAACTGTGGCCTTTGGGAAGAAATGTCACAACAAGGATAGTTGTGGCACTTAAGGGTTGGCTTCAAATGGGCCTCAGTGCCAAGGGACAGGCTGAAGGGACAATCTGAACAGGAGAAATTTAGGCTGAAAGAACCAGAAGAATTAATTTGGGAATCCTTGTTCCCTGCCATGCTTAGTAAGCTGGCAGTGTCTAGACSTTTAGCTAGTTCACACTGGACAGACTGAGGAAAAAGAAAGGAAAGGAAAGTACAGGAAAGGAAAATGATAATGAATACGCATTCCAGGTATTCAGTTGTTATGAGGAATTAGTTTTGAGTCATTTTGTCTTCTCATTTCTCACACAGTAGAGCAGTAGCTGAAACTAAGAAAATAAGAAAAATGATAATAGATGAAGCATTTTAGTAACACAATGACAGAAATACATCATCCTCACMGGTTGTATGTGAGAGAATAAGCAGTTGCCTGTACTGGAATCTTTTTTGGCCCAGTATCMTCTGATCAGATAGTTTGTATCTTTGATATACAGTGTTTTTCTAGCTACTAGAAATATTAGTAGAATTAGTGTAATCTTTTATTTGATCAAAGCTTAGGTATTTCTCTCCTAAAAATAGTTTAAAAATGGTCCAGAGCAACATGAGACCTTTATTCTACACATGGAAGAGAGTTTCCTTGTGCAGATGGGTTTTAATACATTAGGAAGCATCATATTCACTGAGTTGCCTGCACCCCTGATCTCTCTGTGGCTCTCCTGAAGGCTTCCSTTTTGCAATCCATCTTTGCATCCCTCCAAAAGAGAAGTTCATAGTGGATCACAGAAGTCTTCAAATAATAACTGCCTTTGCCATCCTGAACTATGTTGAACATCTTTGGCTCTCTTTTCCTGAGGGGCAATGAGAGATTTGGGCGGTAGCTTTTTAGGTGTTCACTCAGCTCGCACAGAGTCTTCAATAGCACTAGAGCAGCTGACACTTTCTTCCATTGATCTGGTTCTCAATCACAACTTCCTTTCAGCTCTTGAAGGAAATATAGATGATCTGCTATCTAGATTAGGTGATTATTTTCATTYAGTTTCAAGACTTTACTTTGCTAGGCCTCTTGAAATAGGCAGTCTAATAATGTACGTTACATCCACAGAAGGCAGCTTGAAAACGATGGATGTCTACAAAGTTCCAGCGCTGGAAATGTTCCCTTGCCTTCCTGTGGTTAATTTTTTATTTCTACAGAGGGCTCACCCATCAAGCCAAGAATATTCAGCTATAAATATTCCTTCTGCACTTCTCTGTTGTGGGGCATAGTATACAACCAAAGTGCCTGATCTTAAGCAGAACCAAACATCAACAGTGTTTGCTTGGGACTGAGCCCAAGGCTCTTGGAAGTCTCTGGCAAGACTGCTATCAAATTCAGTAGAGCAAGTTTTTAGGTCTCTATCCATCAGGACTCAAGTCCACTTAGCTGTATGTTTTGGAAATGAATTAAATATGATTTATACTGCTTAGGCAGATAAAAGGCAGGCAACTATATTTTTATGTGGAGCGAACAAATAAACAAACAAAAGGTTTCTCTGCACCTGGGGACTGAATGGGGCTCTTCTTCACTAGAAACCTCTGCTAATTAGTAATTTCAAATGTGTGGTACATGTTCCTGCCTCTGCTTCCATCAGAAGAATAACCTCCCAGGGAGGAATTCAGGGTCTGTGGCTACTGCTCTTCTCTTTCAATATCCTCCGGGAGAGTTCAGTACCAAACAYGGTCAGAAAGCAGCAGCCACCTTTACAAGGGGATGTCCCTCTCTCCTCTATGAAAAAGTCTCCACATATTTGGTTCTATCCAATAATATCTTGAGGCACTTGAAGCAAATGCAGGCACTGCATTTACTTGTGTCAAGTTCTGGTAAGTTCTGCTAGAAAGGAGACATTTTTATCGTGAGGGCAGGGCAGCAAATGAAAGACATGATTGCATGTTGCAGCCTCCAGGATTCTCAGACCACTCGGACTGCAGAAAACCAGATGTGGGTTTGTTATGTCTGTGGAAACAACAACCAGGGGTGTAGTATTGGTCAGGGCTGCCCCAAAACTGTTTTAACCTGTTGTGCCTAAAGATGAAAACAAAGTTGTGCCTATCACTATGTTAAAAATTCAGAAGGAAAGTGTGAAAATGAGAAAACAGATTCTGAGTGCATCTGATACCTGTCACCTGCTGTGGCTGTAGCTCAGCCTTTCGCTGTGGTGTCTGTGTGGAGGCAGTAGGATTGATTCTCCAAAGTCTTCCTCCTGAGCACTGATCTGCAGGCTGGGGCCGTATTTAGCCCTAGGAACCAAAATGTCAACTCCACTTCGCTTTTCTTCCTGTGTTCTGTCTTTTGGAATCAAACTACAAGATTAATCAATGGCCTAACCTGTTCACTCTTGATTTAGTCTGATTGGCTGGGAAGCTCCCTGAGGACACATCTCTCCTAGTTTCAGGTGGATCGCCTCCCCTTAACGTTCTGCTCTTCAGAATTTACTTCCTGATACTTTTCTTACACTAGGAATAACATTTCAGACTTTAGACTAGATGTAACTGTGATAACTTGTGGATCTTCTTTCCTCACTTTCTGAGATCAAGGTATGAAACCCAAATGCAGCAGACTAGTCCTTCCCCTTCCCTGCAATCTTCCTTTCCAAGCCGCTATGATCAACTTTTTATCATGACATGCAYTCACTGTGCTTGGATCTTGGCCATTTCCCTACTGCTGGCTCTCACCTTTCCATATGACATGTGTCACTCTGCCTCCTGGATGTAGGAACCTGGATGAAGTGACTCGGCCCCACACAAGGGCCTAGGCCCACGTTGGCCCTCCCTGTGCCATGGGAACCGTGGTGTCCAGGCAGGCCAAAGCACAYGGCTGCGGCGGGCGTCTCTGAGCACCTCCGCACCTGGACGACTCGGTGCTCCGGCAGCTGGAGCACGTCAGGGCCCTGGACGTCACGCTGCTGCAGAACAACAGCAAGGCATATCGGACATATAGATGACAATTCTGTTTTTAGTTTTGGCCTCCCTTTCTGCTAAAAAAGGGGAAAAAATCTGCYTTTTGGAAGTTATTTTTCTGTTTGTCCCCTTGTTTTGCTACTTCTCTAGTCACAGTTTTCAAATCATAAATAAATGGATTGCAGCACTTTAGTGAGTCTTTTACTTCTCTTATGTTTCTTTTTGCAGATAATACAGTAGCTGAAATTGAGAAGAAGATTACAGAAGCTTTTGAAGTGTTTGACCATGAATGCAATCAAACTGTGGATGTCAGGTTTGTAAATACCTTCACACAGAAACACTACAAGATCAAGTACAGAGGAAAATAATACCGTAAACCTGGACTTGCATTACCAGAAAATATAATTGAAACAGCCCCATGGCCCTGCTCAAACAATTTATTTTTGCTTGTTCAGTTAACATTGTACATTGTTCATTGCTTAAAGGCTGAGACTGGCTTGAAAGAGGGGTGCTGGGACTGGTGAACTGAGACAAGGGACAAACAAAGCTAGACAAGTAGCCTAAGGCTGCACTTATGACTAGCAAGTATCAGCTCCAGGAGGTCATGTAGTGCTACATGGATCACTGCTGCCAGATTAATCCCAGCACATCAAGGGGTGCTCCTAGCAACATGTGCCAGTTACCCCAAGGTGCCTTGAAGAGGTATCCTCGGCTGTAATGCATCCCAYGGTGAGAGGTGGATGTTGTTCTGATGAGCATGTGTTTGTAGGCAGCTCCTCTTTTCATGATGGGAAGCCTGAAAGAAACTTGTATATAGTTTGATTATATAATTAAAGACCAGCTCATAACGAACATAAGATGTTCGTACTTGATTGCATYAAAAGTCCATTTAACCCCAAACCCTTTGCCTGGGCTACTAATARTTGCCTGAAAAAGGAATATAAAGAACTGAAGAAATAAAGAGTATTTCTCATTGTTTGTTGTAAATCTGCCAGTGATTTGAGTGATTTGTGCGACTTCTGGGGTTTGTCTTGATAGATAGTGAATAATTGTTCCCTATTCATCTTCTCCACACCATTAATGATTTCATAGCTCTCTGCCATATCTCTCCTCCATCACAGTAGTTCCAGGCTCAAGACTCCTAAGCTATAAATAGTCTCTTAAAAAAGCCATTCTGTACTTTGGATCATTCTTTTTTCACATTAGTTCTTGTTCATCTAGATCGTTTTCAAAATGTGATGACCAGAAGTGAGGGAATAGGATGAACTTACGGGAGTCAGAAGGGAGAACTGCATGCATTRCTATGGGATAAATGTGGAAATACAAAAATATGTCCTAGGGAGTAAGAAAAAGTTCAGCGAAAGAGCTAAGATGGAAACAGAAACAGTTAGGCTTATCAAGGGTATTGGATATCAGATACAGAACTAAAGGAAGTCAAAATAAAAAGTTCAGAAATAATTATAATTCTGGTTATTTCTACCAWTGTAATACTTGACATTGTTACTTTAGTATAAACTCCATATATCTAACAGTATATCTTTTTGGTGTATATATATATAAAAAATGTTATTTCTCTGAGGAGGTTATGAATTTGTTATCATTAAAGTTTACTTAATGTAACTTTTCATATTTCCAGTTACTATTTGCAGAAGAATACCAGATCTTTTAATTATAATTCAAGTTTTGAGCATATGAAATTACGGTAGAATTATCTTTTCATAAGGTATTCCTAATGTTATATAATGAAACCAAGTAAGAAACCTCTTAAATGTTCCACGCTTCTTCTATGTATTAAACAAAACAAAACAAAACAGAGGAGAGAGATGCAAGCCATTTACATTTTTCTAGCACTGCATGCTTAYCRGTGTCTCTAAAATTAAAACATTATGGCAACTTCATTGATACAAAGAGGTTTCAGTTATAGCAGATATGGGAAATGTCAGACCATGTCTCCATTCCCAGTACAATTGCCTTTCTCTTGTCTACGGGGGTCTTTGGAAAGAGCTCTCTCTTAAATTTTAGATGCACAGAGAAAATCTACCCAATCCTTACTTTTTTTTAGCTAGGAAGTAGTTAAAAAACTAGGCCTTTTTACTTTTTTTTTTTGATATTTCTGTCTACTATGCCGTGTGCCCCAGGACAGCACCAGCTTTCCTTGTCCTGCCCATCGCTGGCCTCCTCCAGCCCCATCTCTGCCAGCCGGGGTCTGTGGGTCGCTGCCCCACAAAACAGCAGCAATGACAGCTTCAGCCCCACACGTCCCACRGAGGGTCTGTCACCCTTGAGATGAGGGGACAGGCCCTGGTTACAAGGTCTGTCCTGTCCCCAGGATGTCACTGGTTGCTCATTCAGTTGTCATCTACAGCTGTGGTCCAGGCAAACTGGCTATGGAATTTGCCACCCTCTCCACTCTGTGTGATGCCTAAAGGGCTGGAGAAAATACAATGGCAACAATAAAATTGTATGAATAAACATTTTCTTCTTTATTCAGAATGGCAAGTCTTTAGCTGTGAGACAGGATGTTCAAAAGTTTGTTTAACATAATAAATAAGCTATTTTATGCTATTTTTTATTGTAGAACATTTGCTGAAAATGCACAACATTCCCAGGTTCACAYTGCAAAGTTGTGTTACATTAATGTGGCTATTAATGGCTGATTATCTTGCATCAGAAGGTGGCAGCACAGCACAATTCTTAACCAAGGCTGTAGAAGTAGGAATATGATTTCCTGAAATACTGGATTCCTGGGAAGGAAATTGCTTTCATTAGCTGGCCAACAACAGTATTGGGTGACACCTAATGCAAGTACAAATTAGTAAGAAATAAAGCATTGGGAAGAAGGTACATTTCCATTCTGCTTGCAACATGTCCTTCAACTTTCATGATTTTGCAAATTCAGTTATGAAAAGTAGTATATCTTGGGTGAAAACCACAGCTTAAGAATTTTACTGCATCTGCGTTTAAAAACTGTATGACCATAAACTCAGTTTAACCATCACTTTCTTATGCTAGAAACTAATCAGCAAAAGCTGGAGCATCTGAGCTGAGAGGAGGTGACCGGGGTCCTTTAATTTTACCTGTGCTTGGTGTGTCCTGTTTGGGGTGTTGCAGTTACGAAGATGATTCTTTGAGATGCCATTCTCCCAGCTACTGTTTTCTATTAGGCAATCTCATTTTCCACCAAATTTATCATCCAAGATGAGGTAACCACAGAGGTCTGGTGTGGCAGCTAGCAATACCATGAATATTTATTCAGATGTACTGGAATTTTTGTGCTATCGAATTGAAATGCAAATCATAAGAAATACTTATGCTTCTATTACCCCTATTATCATGGCCTAACCCTTACTAGCACTCTTTCTTTAGCTTGTTTTGGTAGCTTTTTTATCTTTTCTGTTTTTTTTTTTTTTTTTTTTTTTTTTTTTTTTTTTTTGCATTTGATTATAGTTTGTGATGTAGGTGGGAAGAACAAATTAACCGAAGAAGTACCTAAGTTTTTCTACATATTTTTCAAAATAATGTTAACTTGCACCAACTGTCTGAACTTATTCATAATGGTCAGCCCACAACTTAATATCTATACTGTGCCAGTCTCTTAAGTTTGCAAAACATCATTTGTCCATCTTTGTCTTTCTACAGACATTGCCAGTTTCCTCAGAATTGTATTCAGGACCTGAGAGGTGCACCAGGTTCAGAAATAAACACAAACTGTGGGTGTCTTTTGCAGCACAGACAGGGTGACGGTGAACCTGTGTTGGTGTGAGCAGCCATGGAGCACAGCAGGGCTGCCCCGTTCCTCTTGACCTTTGGTAGTTGTTCCCTACTGCTGTTAGAACTTGCATTTTTTTAGTATTATTTAGTAACTCTGTAACTCTGTATTTAGTATTATTTAGTAACTCTGTAAATACAGATTTTGCTGAAACGAAGAATCACTGAAATTAGAGGACAACAAATGAAAAGCAACCTGCAGAGACACAGCGCCGTAATAGAAATTTTAAAAGAAATTTAAGTGGAAAGCTACAAGCATAAGTATACTCTTCCAAAAAGTCCAAAAATGCTAATATATGTCAAAATTGACATTATTTATTAAGATATGATCTTAAAAGTCCAGATTAATATGGTTGTACATGAATTCATGAACATGCCTGCTTGCAAGCTCTGAGCATCGGCTGGACGCTCACACCATCATCCTGTGGATTTACTGACAGAAATGCTCTTTCTTTCAGAGAGATTGGTTCAATTGTCAGGTCACTGGGTTGCTATCCCACTGAGGCACAACTACATGAACTGCTTGCAGAGGTAAATGCTTTAAATCTTCTTTTTCTTTCTTGCATTTTTTCTTTTTCTCTTTTTTTTTTTCTTTTTTTTTTTTCTTTTCCTCTCTCTGTATTTTAAACTTTGTTCTTTTGCCTTGCTGTGCTGGAAACCTAAGCTCTTTTCCAAGAGGTTGGAAGCCTCATGGCACTGGTGCCGGCAGGCGGTCCCTTAGGTTGCCCTGGAGCAGCCCTTTAGGCTGATGGGGCAACAACACTGGTAGATTAAAAWGAGGAGTCTTTGACTCTCTTTTACCTGAGAAGGTCACTGTGGCACCTAAGTGCTGCCAGAAGGAGTTGAAAGATTTGGGGGCTGGGAGGTGGCAGAAGGTTTTTCTCGTTTTCCAGGATGTGTCAGGATGCTTGGGTTTGGGCCCTATTTTTCTTTTCTTCCTGTCTCCAACAGAAACCTGGACTTTTGCATGCCTATCTCTTTTCAATAGGCTTGTCTGGTCTCTTCTAGTTTAGTATTTAGTGTGAAATATCTTGTTCTGAATCTTACAAAAGTGACGCAGCTGCTTCAGACGAGGAAGTGCAAAGAACCATCAGAGGGGAAAGATCTGTTAACGTGATACCGCAATCTGTCTCCTCGGGTTCTGTACTCTCAGTACCAGATTGTCCCGGCTCCATCTGACAAACAAAACAAAACGGGAAAGAGAAATTCTAGTGCTTAATATAGATGAGCTTTTTAGTGGCCCATGGTGATTGTGGTTTGCACTAAATGAACTCTACCACTGTCTCAGATAAACAACTGAGAAAAAGAAGGGGATGCTTTGATCCGCCCCACTATCTCCAGACTGGGGTAACCAGCAGATTTTAAGGTCTTCCTCCTCTACCTCTCTGCAGAGAGACTGGATTTCTTTTATCTTATTTCAATTTTACTGAAAAAAATGAGATATGTAATATAATGAAGTCCAAGACAATGCAGCTATAAGATGGAAGATTGTTGAGATACAAGGATATGACATGTATGCAACTGTTGATTATAAGGATAGTAAATTAGAATAAAAAAAAATATGCAGGAAGAAAGAATATATTCAAGAATACTGGTTGACCAAAAGACCACTGAATTGGAAGTTAAGTCTCAAAGGTTTCATTGGTTCTGTAAATGAAACTTCATCATAGTTTTTAGTGTGAGAACACTATCTCTTTGCAGAACCCTTTATTTATTATCTTAACCCATAATCCAGAATTATCTAAATATATATAAGGTATAATTACTATTATCTATGGTGTTGTCATTTTATCTTAATTTGAATAAAGTAAAGTTTCTGTCTGTTGGCCAGTTTGCAGTGAAGTTATTTCTCCAATATTTCTGCCCATGGCAAGCAGCAGTTCATTTCTGTCTCTCACATCCCACGTGTCTCAGTCAACCACCTTCTTATTGTAGGAACAATTAGGTTGTAAAACCTAATTTTAGCTAAACCAACATATGTTACTTGCAAGCCAAGTTAGCATTTATATAATTATTTTATCTCTAAAATTATCATATACTGTTTCCTATGTTGCCTCATATATTTAGCCCTGTGAAAAGAGCTGAGATTAAATGATAGGCTTAGAGAGGGTGCAGGCTGATCTGTGGGTCACCACTGCTGTGCCACAGACCTGCATGGTGGCTCTGGAAGGTGGTTTTGTTTCTTTGTCCCTTGCTTGCCCAAACATTATGTGGACAATAACAGTGTGGTAGTGAGCATAAAGAAAGAAAATATAATGAGGTGCTGCTGTGCAGGTTTTAAGGCTGTTGTGGATGTACCTAAAGGAAAAAAATCAGAGCAAAATTTAGACCTTTTGAACTAGCAGATGCTGTTAATGTCACAGCTGCTATGAAAAGGGGAGGAATTACAGGCAAATGAAAACACCATTGAGACATGAGGTGAGAGAACAGGAGTGAACGTGAGGAAGAGGATCTACTTGGAAATTTCAATACCTATTGACTTTGGCCTGATTAATATATTCAGTGCGCTCATATATATATATTATATATATGTATAGATATAAAAAATTTTAGAAATAGGATTGGTTTTAACAGATCAAGACATTGCTGGGTCTGTAGAGTCACTGAAATGCTGAGGTTGTTCTTCATGTCCTGAAACTATGTCCATTGCCAGGGAGGAAATGTTTCTTCTTCGCACGCTGTTTTCTGAAGGCAAAATTCAAACAGCACACTAACAAAAAGAGAGAAATCTGGATATTTGCCAGTGGGCACTGACCCTTTGACACGTGTGGTGAGCTTGGGTCACCTCTAATAAGTTCTTGTAATATGAAAATTAGGATACCTTTCAACTGCTTGGATGAGCAGACCTGATGTTTTTTGGCTCTTAAACGTGCTTTATGTAACTTACCATTTTTATAGATGCTTTGGTTCCTTGCTTCTAGTTATTCTGCTTCTGGTTATATATGAGACATATATTGCTTATAAATAGCTACCACATTTCTTTTTCTGTCTTTGTAGACTCTTGACCTGTTACTAGTTGCGACATAGGTGCTTCATAAAACAATCCTTCCAAGTGATACCTCTCTCAATATTTATGATGCATGTAATAGTTCAGTGCACTGACCTACTGTTAAAACACTGGAAAAAAGTCAGGTTTTGCCAAGTATTTTATTACATCTTCTCAATAGATTAAGCAGCAAAGCAAAAGATCCTGTAATGGTAGAAAGTACCATTTTACTTAGCAAGTATGCAAGCGCTGCACTGCCTAGCSAAAGATGCCTTCTGCCAGGCTTAGCAAACAGAAGGGGAAAAGTACTTTTTCAAGCCAATTTCCACTCTAAAGCTGCAAGAGGTGGTGACTACCTGCTTCTGTCAACCAAGATCTTTGAGAAGCACCACAGGAGTGCATGCAGGAACAGCTCTCTACTTAGCAGCTGGATAGATAGAGCGGGGATCTCCTCCTGCTCCAACCCAGCTCCCACGCAGCAGGTTTCTTACCTCTGCCTTTCCCCGGCTTGGATTTCAAGCTGGTGCCCCCATGAGGCTTCTTTCAGTCGGGGCTGTTTCTGCAGAGAGCTCAGCAGAGTCTCGCTGGGGCCGTGTGGGACTGCTGGGAATGCATCCAGCCTCAACGTGGGCAGAGCAGGCCAGCTCCTTCAAGGGCGCTTGTTTGGAGAACTGAACTTGACATTTTCAATGAAGTAATGCTCTGAGATACGTTTTTTGATCATGTTGTTTGTCTCCTGTGGAAGTTTGGGAATGCAGTGAGGATGCTGCTAGAAGTCCCCAGTGCTTTTGTGCAGCCAGCCCCTAAACAACAATTAGTCTGTTTAGGAGGCAAGATAAAGCTTTTCTTAGTGTAGCATTTATGAGCTGCCTCATGGATGTCTCAGACTGCCCTGACTCAGTTTGTCTGCCTGTTTGGTCCCTCCCTTGACAACTCTACCTGGCTGTGAAACATGTGGAGGCAACAGATTCCATCCTAGAGGTATACCAGGCTGGGGCCATGTCCAAACGAGCATATTAAATGTGCCCAGAAACATCCTTGGATGTCAAAGCCAGCTGGCACAGAGCAGCCTGCGGTAAATGTTTCCTCCAGACTGTCTGCTGGGAGAAGCCCTCAAGTCCAAGCGCCCAAGCTGGGCCTGGCAGCCACGGGGAGGGCACTGGGTGGCCCGTGCCCAGATCCTGCCGGGGAGCAGGCGGCTGGTTTGCTGCTGTGGGTGATGGCGTTACGCTGCTTGGGGCTGTGCCAGGTCGTGCTCGGTTTTACTAGCTGCATGCCATCTGCTCGTTTTATTGACTTGCTGGGGAAGGTGAGCAGTTGCTGTGCCCAAGCCTTTTGGATGAACGGGTTGTGACCACAGGAGGGCAATATTGAGTTGCAGAAAGATTTTATACTTCCCAGGCTGTGTTTTGCCTGGGATATAATTTAATTTCTTTCTATTTGATGAGAAGCATTGCACACCGATGTTTTGTAGCCACGTAATGTTAAGAACCTGATATAAAGATTCAAAGTCCAATTGTAATTTTAATGCAGAACCCATCCAATTTTTCTGTTTTTCCTATTAGTTTGCTAATGAGCCATCTAACCTACCATCCCTAAGTTTTATTTTTAGGTAGAAGAAGAGGAACCCACTGGATATATTCATTTGCAAAAATTTCTTCCAGTGATGACAAGAGTACTAGTTGAAAGAAGGTATGGAAAGTGGATTTATTCTTCCATAAAATAGAAATGCCGAAAATATATGATCACTGATGCAGAAAGTATAAGAGAACAGTATATAAAAAGCATATAAGTATATAATAAGAACAATAATTTGCTGTATCTTGAAGAAGTACACATTTTTGTTTTAGCTCAGTTTACCTAAGATTGTTAGTGAGGTTTGAGTTCAAAGTGATTTAGTGTACATGAAATTATATTCAGATGATGGTATAAGTAATACCAGCTTATAATCATGAATTGTGATGTGTAGTTTCTGTGTTCTTAATGTGAATCAGAATTTACTTGCTATTCAGCATGTTTTCTGCATTTCTGAAAAATATTTTATATGCAAATTGAGGTCATAACCATTGCTTTTTCTGTACACATGAATTCTAGTTACTGAAAAGGGCAGTCTGTTAGAGTGTATTTTTAATAAGTTGGATAAATCAGCTTCACATTTGTGTCTGAAAAGCAACTGCCAGGTCCAGTTGAACGTACATAATTACACAGCAGTCTAAATTAGAACAATTAGCAGTCTAAAAGACTGCTGATCTAAAAGCTCTGCTGATCTAAAAGGCTCTGCATTATTCCAGGGCGCCCTGAAACCTTGGCGTGTGCACAGGACCTTGTGGCCTCAGTGGGAGGTTGCTCCGTGGGACATAACCGCGCGGTTGCCTCAAAGTGCCCAGTTGTCTCATGGCTGTAGGCGCAACTTAGGGCTGCTTCTGGGGTTCCTCGCTTTGCTCTCTGGACCCTGAGCAGCCCATGGGGTTCAGTCCCAGCGGGCAGGAGTGGGTGCCTTGCCTTCCTGGGCTCCAGCACCCTCCCCTCTGGTGTTTCTGGCACATCCCCTGCTCCATGCTGATGTTCATCCCTTCACAAAGTGATATGTTGCTGCTCCGGGCTCTCTCCTCCCCTTCTATCTGCCCATCTGCCCAAGCACACACGCTTTCTTCAGGCTACTGTAAGCATGTCGGGACCCACTTTATCTTTTAGGGCATTATGTCTATAGTTATTTATCCAAGGGCACATGAGATCTGGATCACAGAAAAACATGGAGTCTTTCTAACACATGTGATCTTCAGATAGTGAAAGAACGAGGCGGGTCTGGACAAAACAACCAAGCATTTTGAGCCTCCCTGGCCTCAGTATCTTCACTTCTCATTAGTATTTGGGGGATATGGTGAAAGTCTGCTGGGATATGGAGCATCTCCATTGCTATACCTGGCTCCCTTTTCCAACTGTGGAATGAGTCCCACATGTGCATGCTCTGTTTTCTCCCTGAAATCTTCAGTGACAAGACCTTTTCTTTCAGAGCTCTCAGCCTCCTCTGCTCACCATCTGCTCATTAGACATTCGAAGTCCCTCCAGGTGATCTGCTGCTTAGTTACCAGCCTACCTGGACAAAACTTTGTTTTCTTGGTTTGGCCGTCTTCCCCCGTTCCGTGTATTGGCTTCATGGGGTGATTCAGGCCGTATTGATTCTTACTAACCCACTCAGTCAGCCCAGACATGTAGCAGGAAAATGAAGCAGGAACACAACAAAAGACCTAAGAGGCGAAGATATGGTCAGTTCAAAAACTCAAGCTGGAATTAAATGTTAGACAAACTTACTAGATTCTCATAGAAAGGAGATTTAATTTCTGTTAATGCTTGTGTTAATCTTTCAAAATAGTTGAGCAGCCTTGCAAACAGTGACACTAACTTTTCTGATTCAATGGTTTCAGCTACCAGCCCACTCCAGAAGATGTTCTTCTACATGCATTTGAGGTCTGTAATTAAAAGATTGAACTACCTAATTGCTGGAAAGAATTTGCTGATTCTTGATTCTATATTGTAAAAACCACAAGTTTTATTTATTTATTTTTTTTATTAAGGCTTTAGATGTGAATAAATGTGGATATCTTACCAAAGAGGAGCTGGTAAAATATATGACTGAAGAAGGTAACATGCTGACTAATTATTCTTGTAATATCAGTACTTAAAAAAATAAACATTATATGTGCATATGGCACCTGGAGGCCCTGATTCTGCATGCCAAAACTTGCAGCAGTAGATTCGCTGTCTTCACACAATTCTGTGCTCTTGATGAGTGCCTGCAAACTAAAATATTCACTGGTGAATAATGCAGGGAAAGGACATTTGCCTGTCCTTTTGCAGGTGCCTTCAGATAGAGCTTGCTCTTAGGAAGAATCATAATTCAGTCCTGTGTGGATATTCTACGCTTCTGTGTATATCAYTGTTTTTCCTAAGGATGTAACTCTTTCTCTATCCTCCTGTAAACTTGTATTTTAGATTTCYAAATGTTTCAGGTAGTTTCAGTGCTCATTCATTCCTACATTATCTTGATCTTAGTTCTAGTGCTCTACACAAATCAGGAGATTCAAAGACCAGATTTAAGCTGTCTATCGTGTAATCCTCAGTGCTCCTTGAAGAGCCTGCTTTTCTTGCATGCCTGCCTCAAGTACAAAAGGGCACTCATGCTTTGCATGAGGCTTTCCAAGACTTGTCTTCAGATTGGGACCATATTCTCAAAGAAGGATGCAGCAGGCCAACAGCAGCTTTGAAACTCCTAAAAGGGCAGAAACAGGAGCCTTTCATGATGTAAAGACGAAAAGGAGAGAAAGTAGTGCTAATGTGGCCGTTGCAAGAATCTGTTCTGATCGAAGGAAAAAAAAGGGGGGAGGGGCCAGAAATTCCTGTTGCAGATTTGGGGGGGGGTCTGATTTGAGTGGAGATAGGAAGATCTGGGCTCTTGGTCTCCCTTAGGCCAGCTGGCTTGGCATGCAGGACTTGAGAAGATAAAGGAATTAGATTCTTGGATTTGCTCCTTTTCTCCTCTGTTTTGGGACTGAAAGGAAATCTTTGCAAGGGAAAAGCAAGGGTAATTTGTCAACCCTGAAAGAATATGCATCAAAGTGTTGCTGTCTCTTCTCTTCCAGGTGAGCCCTTTACTCAGGAAGAAATGGAGGACATGCTCTCTGCAGCTCTAGATCCAGAAACAAATACTATGCGCTACAAAGATTACATTACCTTGATGATAGTAGATGACGTTTAAGAACTTCCCTTACAGAGTCTGACTTGCTTTTGGTAACAGCAGTGTAGCTTGACAGTTACTTGAAATATGTGTAGCATAGCATAGCAAAGCTCAGCTTGTGACCTTGTGCTTATAATTAAAATAAAATCTGTGTAGCTATATTTCCGTGGGATCTGCGTATGTACTGAAATATATTCACACCTGGAAAAAGAGCTCTTGACAGAAATATTATGTAAGGGCTGGAAAAGAAATCATGGCATTTGGTCTGAAAAATAACAGGAAAATCATGTTAACAGAGACAAAAATTACTCTGCAATTACGTTTGAAAAACTAATGGAAAAATGAGACCTGTGAAAGCAGGAAATAAATTGGTAAGTGAGACCTCATCAGCTGGGGAGAGCTGATGCACAGAGGCATGAAGTGCCTTACCCGATCTCATGTGCTTCTAGCGGCAGAGCTGAGAAGATACCACAGGGATCCTCATGTCAGGTCTTTTGTTCTTATTTGTTTCACTTCATGATGAGCTGGAAACTCACAGGAGGTGTTTTAACACACATCTGCATGAGAGCTGCTTGCTGTGCTTCACAAAGAAGGGATTAGCACAATCTAAACATGGTGACGGAAGCAATCTGGAAGAGAGTCCTGTTCTTTTTGATTCTTTTCTTACCCCTCTAACTCAAGTTGTTTTTCACTGGCACTTCCCTAAACAGTAGCACAGCAAAGGGTTAATGTAGGTAAGCAACATCTGCCTAAGTCTAAGCTGGCTTTCCATCTGGGAACCACAGTTGCTCTGTTGGTAACACTCTTGACTATCCACTCTTGTTAACACRTTTACTACATGTTTCATCTGTTTGTCAATGATAATGGGAAAGAACACAGATAATCATTAATATTGCAATATGTTGAGGGTTCAGGTTTTCTGAAGCAACAAAGACCCATTAAGAAATGATTTCACTTGTTATCAGTCTTCTTTAGACTGTCTGTGGAAGTTAAATTACAGTTACTTTCCCTAGATTGGTTTGATATACAGTGGGTTACTGGATGTTTAACACAGCAGGTGTGAATACAAGTCTCCTACATACTCTGCAGCCTGGATGATACTGTCAGTCTCATGTTGGATGTCAGCAGCAGGATGCTCATTTCAGGAAATTATTTCTTAGCGCAAGAGAGAGCGCAATTTGTGTCAGTAGTGGAGTGACCCCAGAGGCCTGACTCAGCTACTGCTGTCGGATCAGAATGCCCATGTAGTCTGCAGTTCCAATTTACCATAGAGATAGACTCTTAACATAGATTGGTTGACATATTTATCCTACAGTCCTCAAAAGCAAGGGAAGAAAGTATCCAGGCAAGTAAAAAGTGGGATTGCTACTGAATCTATCACACATCAAATTCTCTCATCGTCTTATATCTCTCCTGAGAAGAATATGTGCAGATATGACAGATAAAAAGCAAGTTGCAGACTTCACTTTGGGCATAAGCAAATTCAGTTTATATTAAGCTTAGATTTTCCMTATTAGGACTAGAGAAAATGTCTAAACACACCCAGATCCTGTACATTCCCATGTTGAGGCTAGCATCGTATAGTCTGATGTGCTTGTGAAGGAGGTGCCTTGTGGCACCCCGGAAGCTACAGAGCAGCACAGCACCCAACTGCGTTATTTTCTTCCTCCTGCCTTTCAGGAAGGACTTTGCAGTACGTGCAGTGCCTGCTCTGCTGCCTGTCGTGTTGGTGAGCTGTGTGTGAGGATTCTCGTGTCTCACTGAGGCGGGCTCTGAGCTCCCCGAGTCTCTGTGCTCTGTGGGGGTGAGCAGCAGGGAGGGCCCATTCCCCAAGGAGGGGTCTCCAGCYGAGGCAACTGGTGATACAGGCACCCTCCGCCCCAGGGGCCCTGGCCTTGCTCCAAAGCTGGGGAGGTGAGGAGGCTTGATGAGGAGAAAGCAGGACCTACTCCCAGCCCTATTCCAAACTTCTGCTAAGCTCCTCCCAAGCTTCTCCTAAAGCTCCTCCCAAGCAGGAGCTTTAGGGAGCCATTTGCTTGTCACTTAGATGTATATATTTGTTTTTAAATTTGAATAGAAACATACATTATTTTGACCTCATCTTTGAGGTGGACACATTGAACTTCACCTATGCTGCCGTGCAGTCTTGAGCTGTCTCTCTCTGCATGCCTCTCCTTGCTGGCTGTTTTGACTCTCCCCTCAAGATCAGGAACCAAGATAAGTGAATGGATTGCACCAGGGAGCCTCTAGGGAGAAGCCAGCCTTGCCCCTGGAATCAGTCCACACTGGGAAGCAGAGCCAAGGCTTTGAAGAAGCTGGGGAAGTCAGAGGGGTATTGACCTAGTTGAAGGAGAGAGAGGGAAGGGAACTCATTAACCAAACATTAAAAAGAGAGGAAAAAAAATCAAAGAAACAAACCTTGAAAACCATCTACAAATACAACTGAATCAGCAGGTTGTTTACATCACTGCTGCAAGTTGTAGACTAGACAAGACTTTACTTGTTTAAAACATTAACTAGCTTCAGTTGTGTCAGGCGGTATCTGGTATATAGTGGAGACTTCTTCCTCTATCTGCTGGTACTGTGGAGACATTCCTTCAGCTGCTGCACTCGTTTTTGAGACTCTACTTACTCATACTGCAAGTAATGTTTTACTCTTACCTTCTCCCTCATCAACTTTGGAAAATGCTTCTCCAAAACATGTTTCTGTCTACTAGTGGTAGTCTCATACGTATTCACACCTGAAGGCTGGAAGATTTCCCATTGCAGTACATGCCAGCAAGTTATTTGAAGCTCTTTCAGACTCTGCACTGGTCTTAGTAAAAATAAAAGTTGCATGACTTTTATTCAGTAATGCAGTAATTGTGCCTTTTGTTGGTACCTTCAGTGCTGCAAAGATAAAATCGATAAAAGACAAAATTGGTCAACAAAAACATTATGAAATTCAGCAAGAGCAAATGTGAAGTCCTGCCCTTGGGGAGGAAGTACAACAGTACAGACTGGGGTCTGACTGGCTGTGGGCAGCTCCACAGAGAAGGACCTGGGATCGTTTTGAGCAGGGTGCTGAGCATAAGCGCAGAGCACCCTGACAGCAAGAAGGTCAAGGGCATCCTGGGCTGCACCAGCAGGAGGAGCAGAGGCAGCAGACTGAAAGAAGTGATTATCCACTCATCACTTGTTAGAGTGATCACATCTAGGTACTGTATCCAGTTTGTGGCCCTGCAGTATAAGGTATGGATGAACTGGAGGAAGCTCATTGGAGGTCCACCAGTGTAACCAGAGTGTTTGCCCTGTGGTAAAGGCTGAACTTGATCAGCCTGGAGATGAGACAGCTTGGTGGGGGGGAGGTAACCGCMGCCCCCTAGTACCTATGAGGAGATTATCAGGAAGGTGGAGTGAGGCTCTTCACTGCACTAAATGGGTGGGTAGTTATTTATCACTGGGTTTGGATTTACTGTTGCTGAAATCAACACTAGCAAAACTCTTGACACTCATAAGGAGAAGGATGTAGGCCTTCGGTTTCAAGATGGAAGGAGAGGGTGAATGTTGGAGCCAAGACTGGGACTGGAATGGGAGGTTAYAAAGTCCTATAATACCCTGCTGTCATGTGTAAAAGGTGTGGGTGGGCATAGTCTCAACATTAAGGAACCTGGTTGGCAGTCAGATTTCATTCTAGACTTTGAGAAGTGTTGTGTAAGTTATTAAATATCTCCCCAGGTGAGCTTTCTATCTATAGAGTCAGAGTAAGTACAGAGAATAGGAGAAAGGGAATATCTGTCTTACCTACCTGAATTGTCAGCTTTTTAAATCACCACCTCTGATGTTTGCCCAGTGCCTGGTACTATGATGTTCTAATCAAAATCAGTGCCTACGGACCTCCCTGTCACCTAATTAATAAATGTTCTCAGCCTTCAAATCCTTTATTTGAAGCTGTACATTCAGGTCACTACTTTTAAACAGGTCAGTCTAGAGCAAATGCGTTTGTTTTCATTGAACACAACTCTGTTTCTGGCCTAGTGTTTCATGCTGTGGTAGGCTTGACTGTCAAGGTGACTGTTGAAACATTTAGTCTTATCATTGGTGGGGTTTTTAGGGCATGTCCGATGGATGTTACTGTAGGCGAGGGGACTCTGCTGGTTTAGAAGCTAAAGTTGTAGCTTGAAGCAAAGCAGATTCTCCCGTTTAAGCCATTTTGGATCCCTGGGGCTACTATTTGGCTTAATATGGCTCTGAAAGCCAAGAAAATGTTATTCATTATGCTCGGAAGATTGATCACAGCATTTATATCCTGAGGTCCAAATCCTGAAGTCTTATTCAGGCAGAACTCCCATTGACTTCAAAGGAAATTCTGTCTGCAGAAGGGCTTCAGAAATAGTGATGTATTGGCTCACAAGGTACTGCAAAACCCTTTTAGTCTCTTTAAAAGAAGTCTTGTTTGTGGAAGACCTAATAGAGATGTACAGCCAGCAAGTGATTTGTGCCATTGAAATRGCCAGAAAGGTAAAGCCATGGGAGTAGGTTGTTAATCTTATCCATATGAATACAAGCAAGCAAGAGTCAACAAGAATGTGCAGACAGAACTTTTCCATATTGTTCAAACAGAGCCCCAACAGTAAATCCAGGGATGCTGTGGCAGGGAGACTTGCAATTACCTCTTCCTGCTATTATCCTGGAAACACTGAAGCCTTAAAACACAGATGTTACTTCTATGATTTCACATATTTAAACAATTCCTTTTCTTTGGACTCCAATTACTCCTCTTAGAAACCCTTTTAGAAAAGATTTTCCTTCTAAATACCCACTTAACATGATAGCACAAAAGGAAACAATTTGAAATAGGATGCTTTCAGGTAGAGGAGAGTATTGGGATATTTACTGTCAGTGTAGTCTCTTTCCCACCAAGGCAGCAGCATCCTCTAGTGCAGAATGGCTTCTRGGCTTTGTCTTGGGGTATGCTGTGCCTTCTGCTAGAGACTAGCCTCATCATTAAAATAATTTAAATATAATTCTTAGGTTTTATCGAGATGTGGTTTTGAAGCGGATATGCAAGAATTTGAGAGTACTCCATGTTAGCAGGTTGTCCAAATTTTAATTATTACAACAGTCAAAGTTGTACAGTGCTGGAATGCTAAGCTTTGTGGTACATTCAAAATGG